ATTTTTTGTAATGCATTTGAATAGGACTTTAAGGTCTTATGTAATGAAAATTCATAAAAAAAAAAACTCTTACGGGCTACCCTGCTTATAATTGCATGACCATAAGTTCTAATTTTAGATTTGATCCATTATATAGGAGGTAGAGTTGATAGGGTTTATAATATATAACTATATTTGCTTGGTCCTGAACCTTAGCAAGCTAGCATACAAAGTTGACAATGCTAACAAGCTTACAATATTTTGAGGCATGTCTTTTGTGAATAAATACTAGGGTCAATATGGCTCATTGCATATTATTCTACATCTAAAAATAAAAGTACATGTGAATATTGTTTATGTTGCTAGAATATCATAACCAGATAGTGTTATTCTCATTCTAAAAATGACCTCTCAAAATTCTAAAAAATTATATTTATCTATTTTTTTGGTTAGGGCTGTAATTAAGATGAAACCATAACTTTTGAGGGAATTTCATTTATATAATTCCCCTCTAATAAAAGCTATGTGTAAAAAAAATAGGAAACTAAAAAGTCAAGCAATAACTGAGCGTTTTGTACTTTGAGTCCACCACCACTCATCAACATTAGTTAATTAGGGATGAAAATTTTAAATTTTATCATAGTTTACAAAACATTAATATCTGTATCCATTTGATCACATTAAAATCTTATGCTAGTAAGGTCATGACGCATGTCCTATGATTGATTGGTTAACTTGACAGTTGATTATGAAAACACCACTATATTACAATTATGGCATGAGTCTTTATGTTCCAATGTCTAAGATTATTAGTTGAGAGCAATAAGGAGTGCCTAATATGGCATGAAGCCTTTTGTTTGTCGAGGATGGATTAAAATTGTCCCATTCGATAAGTTTTCACCCTAAGTCTATGAGTTTGTTCTTTTTTTGGGGATAACATAGCCTATGATAGGAACTTGGAATATATGTTATCTTACATATAAATTAATAGAATTAATAGATATTATGATTTATATGAAGATAAATATTCTTTGCAATAAAAAAACTAAAAAGGTTGGTGAGAAGGCTAAGGAAATTCATAGTTTTGGATTTAAACTATAGTATGTAAGTAGAAGTCGATTTTGGATTTAAACTATAGTATTTAAGCAGAAGTCGAACTGAAAATAATGTAGGTGTGATTTTGGAGAAGAGTTTGAAGGATAATATTGTAGAAATTAATAAAATTGGTGATAAAATTATAGCTTTAAAAATTATTGTTGATGCTAAAATTATTAATATTATCAGTGTTTATGCTTCTTAAATAGATTTGGATATATGTTCAAAATTAAAATTTTGGAATGATTAGAAAAAATTAATACATAGAATACCTCTTAAAGAATTTTTTTTTATATAAAGAGATCTAAATGAATATGCTGGTATAGTGATAGATGATTTTAAAAAAATTCATGGTGGCTAATAGTTTAGAGAGACTAATGAAGACAATAGAATCATATTACATTTTAGTCTACCTTATAATTTTGTAATTGCTAATATTTTATGTAAGAAAATAAATGAGTATCTAATCATTTATAAGAATGGATATAGTAAAATTTAGGTTAATTATTTTCTTATAAGAAAAATATATCATTTAAATTACAAATATTATAAAGTCATTCCGAGTAAAAGTTTATGCACTTAATATCGCTTATTAATTTTGGATTTTAATATGAAGGAGGAAATATGAAAAATAAAGTGAAATCTTATCCTAGGATTAAATGTGGGGGCATTTAAAGAATGCTAATGTTATGTAAAAAAATTAGTAGTAATATTAAAAATGTTGTAAATTATGTGCTTAGAGTATCAAAAGAAAAAACTCCTTATAATAAAAATAGTTGGTGGTTGAATCAAAATATATAGAAAAGAAAAAAAGTAAAAAGTTTTGTTATAACAATTGATTTAGATGTAAAAGCTTAAAAAATTGAGAAAGATATATAGAAGCTTGTAAGAAATCTAAGAAATAATATGCAATGCAAAGAATTTAGTTTTTAGTGGTTTATATAATAGACATATATTAAGGAGGGTAAAAGATGTATGTATAAGTTAGCCAAATAAAGAGATGAGAGAAGTAAATATTTAGTTTAATTGAATTGTATTAAGGATGAATATCAAAAAGTAAATTTATTAGAAGAGAGTATTTAACAAAGGTGGATGAGATATTTTGATAATATTTTTAATGAAAATTATGAGAATAAGATTGACTTTAGTGACCTTACTACTCTAAATAAAAGTAGAGATTTAATTTTTTATCATAGTATTAGTAAAACTGAAATTAGAGAGACTTTAAAGGAAATGAAATATGAAAAAGTAGTTTAACCTGATGATATTTCAATAGAGTTATGGAAATGCTTAAAAGATGAAAGAATTTTTTTGGCTTATTAAACTTTTAAATATTATTTTGAAGACTAAAAAATTTTTAAATGAGTGGAGAAAGAGTGTGTTGGTTCATATTTTTAAGAATAAAGGTGATGTACAATAGTGTGCGGATTATAGAGAAATTAAGATAAAACTCTATGACAGAGTAATTGAGCATAGGTTATGACATGATAGTAATGTTTCTCTTAATTAATTTGGATTCATGTCGGGTAGGTCTACTATGAAAGTAGGGATGTCAATTTCGGGTCACGGGTCGGTTCGAATCGAACCCGAAATTGACCTGGCACTATTCGGGTCAACCCGAACCCGACCCGCTTTGGGTCCGGGTCAACCTGATACAATCCGAATGACTCATTTCCAATAAAAAAATGCTAGTTTTTGGGTCCAAAAACAGGTCAATCTCCGCTTTTCTGGTAAAAAATAGGTCAAAAACGGGTCAATCTCGGGTTGATGGGTCAAAATTGGATTTTCAGGTAAAAAACGGGTCGATTTCGGGTCAAAAGGCTCAACCCAAACCCAACCCGATTTTTGAAACGAATCGAAATGTTGAACCCGAACCCAACCCAACCCGTTTCGGGTTCGGGTTGACCCTAATTTGAAATTTTCTGGTCGGGTTCGAGTCGGGTTTTCGGGTCGTGTCAAATATTGACACCCCTATATAAAAGCTATACATTTATTTAGAGGTTTGATGGAGAAGTATAGAGAGATAAGGAGGATCTACATATGACGTGTCATGCTCGACGCTGACCCTACTTTGGCCATCAATCACTTTACCATATTGCATTTCAATATAATTCTTGTGATCTAAATGCAAAACAATTTTGAAAGAGATCATAATCTAAAACATCAATCGACTATAACATTAATAGACTACTAACATCAAAACAAATAGTCAAGTAAACAAATCTTTCTTATATCGACAAAATAAACCTAAAATAAAAACTAAACCTGGCACTTATGGTTTAAACTTATCTTTCTCCTTTCTTGCAACAGCTAGAATAACCATCTGATGAGCTACAACGCCGACAAATATATGCAACTTTAATATAGTAGTCAAGTATAGAAGAAGTAACACTTATATACACATTAACAAGTGAATGTAAGAAAATTGTATATAATCGTTTAATAGAAATTATGAACAATATGTTATAATATAAGAGGTGAAAATGCTGCTACATGTAAGAGTTATGCGAAATGTTATATTAATATAATTTCATTAGGTTAGTTGCATTCAATATGGAAACTATATATTACCTGTAAATCCTACATTATTAGTTGCCTTCCAATATGTACATTATACATTACTATTGGTAATCATAAAAAGATTTCAATTCATATCATAATTCCCTTTTTTCGCCTCAGAATGTGTCATGTCTAGATGCTCAGGTCTATTTCTATAGCCCGTAGGCTTCGAAGGTTGTACTTCCTCTATCACCCGTAGGCTTCATATTATAACCATAAGCTTTATATCATACTGAAATTGCACTGACTTTATTGAGCCACACTATCCATCAGAGTGGGATTGCCCCACCCACCTATCATCTAATATGACATTTTCTCAAACATATCTGATAATTGTATTTTCCTTTCTAGTTTGTATGACACTTAACTATATATATAAATATGCACATGCATGCAGATTGATATGTTTGTCATGTGTATTAGCATATAAGCAGTTATGATTATATGAATAATATACTACAAATCACCGTATGATAGAATTGGACATAGCAGCATCATATAGTAAAATTACCTATTACAAGAAGTTACATATGGAATGGTTGCATGGATCATAATTTCTGGCTAATCCTAACAAGCAAGAGTACAAAGACATGTCACCCACAACTAATTCAAGTGCATGTGTACAGATATACTCAATCAACATACATACTATACTAAAAATGAATTTTTAATAAACTAAAACGTAAGAGATCAGCTCAAATACACATGAATACTTGTAACATCAAAATCAACATAAATCGTATAGAGTCAGCAACAACTGGCATGTATATTGTGCATATTGACAGCTTGCTGCCCACAAACTTTCGATAAAATAGACAATCAAAGTTTGGATAAATTCGTTCATATCTTATTTGATTTTTCTTTTTAAGAAAGTTCCAATATAGCTTTTACAACATACGAAGGTTTGGCCCCGTGTCTGTCTGTTGTACATGCCCACTGCTTTGCCATAGGTCTATTAGAAACTTGATTGATTTCATCGATTGGGCTTATGTTCTTGCATAACTATATTGGATAATGGCATTGCAAGTACGATTAAGGATCCAATCTTCCTAGTCGGATTGTAACTCGTTTAATTTTTATCTTGACAATCTAAGGCTGCTTGTTCTTTTTACTCTAGTTGAATTTGGCAACCATAACATCTTCTCTGTATTGCATGGTAAATAGCACTTTCATTATTTATCCTTTTCTAAAATATTCTTATTTAAAGATATTAAGAACGATTATAATTGTATGAAAAGGTTCGCTAATATGTTTTTTTTTTCTTCACCAAAATTGTAGACCGGATTTATCCAATGCCTTGGTTTCATGAATTGCTTCTTTGAGTTTATTTCTTTAAAAAATAATTTATCTGCATGCTTTTGCCTCAGGTTTTGGCAATTGTCTGTGGTATCATACCATTTTTAAAGAGCCTAATCCTGAAAGATGATGCGCCCTTCTTTTTTTTCACTGACAGTTGCCTCATCCTTGGGTATGCTGCAAATCCTTTCTTCTCTTTTACTGAACTTTTCCCATTTATTATTTTGGCTTAAATGCTCTAGATTGGTGACATGCTGAATGTGTCCATGTAATCCTTCTAAGTTTGGGTGTGAATGAAGGCGAGATCATCTTATAAGCCCCATATGATGCAATATTGTTGGCTAGGCCACGAGTCTACATGATGTAGAATGAGAAGGCCAAGGAAAAAAAAATGATTTTTCATGGAAGAAATCATTGTATAAAAACCGTTCGAGGTGAATGCCTTGAGATGCGTCTTGAATTGAGGTATAAAAAAATGCCTCGAGGCTTAAGCTTCATTGTCAACGGCGAGGCTTATACATTTTTTGTTTGAGGTATGCGCCTTGAGGTGTTTGAGGCTATGCCTCAATGAGATCATTTTAAAAAAAGTATTACAATATATATGCTCCTTGTTGACCTGGACACCGTATGCTATATATATATATGTTGACCTGGACACCGTATGCAAAGAGAATTTTTTTTTTTTAAAATCCCATACTTGCCTAGACGTCCGCACGACTTTGCACGTCGAAGGCACGTCCATGACACTCCTCCCACATCGCACGACCTCACGTCGTTAAATACCCGAGAGAGGAAGGGCTTTAACACTCTCCTTACGCATTCCCTCTTGTGCGTTTCTTCGCTACTTCGTTGTTGGTTGGCTCCGCCCCCTTCGACGACGTTCTCGTCCAGTTGGATTGGAATTTATGACATTTGATTTGAAGCAACAACGGGAGCTCCGCTCACTGTGAAGGTAACTCTCTCCCATTCGCGCGCTTCTTAGTCCAGATCCCTAAAATCCGCCGAAGCTCTCAGCCTCCTTCGTTGTTGATCGACTTCGCTCCTTGGGCGACGTCTGTTTATCGGATCGGAAGTAAAAGACTGTTGACCTGCATGCTATATCCAAAGGAAACAAAAAAGGGGGAAGCTCAAAATCATACATTGCCCGATGGATCCACGATCCCTGCCGAAATTGCGTTGATTCGGAGCCGTTCGCGTCGCTTCCCCGTGAAACCCTGCTCAAAATCTGCAATCTCACCTCGATCGAGAGCCCAAGTCGCCTTTAAATACTGAATCAACCCCATGGCTTTCGGCTGCTTCTCCCTTCGGCTCCACACACGCAGAAACCCCTACTCCTCCGATCTCCTCCTCCAAGCTGCGAGCCCCATCCTTGTCCGTCTGTCAAAGCCGACCGAGCCCAAGCAGACGATCGACCCCCACCTTTCATTCCCTTTCCCTTCTTTGTGCCGACCTGCTCTTACCCGCCGAACTCCAAGCCGAGAGGGAGGGAGGGAGGGAGGGAGAGAGAGAGAGAGAGAGAGAGAGAGAGATAATTAACTTTAATTAACTATAATTATTAATTTAATTATAATTATTAGAATTAATTATGATTAATTGTAAGTAATTAATCATAATTAATTTTAATTAATTAAGATTAATCTTAATTAAGGTTAATACTGATTAATTATTATTTTTAAATTAAAATTAATCAATAATAATTATTTATAATTAATTAAGGCTATTTATAATTAATTATAATTACTCATAATTAATTATAATTAATTAAACATAATTATAATTTTGTGAATATAATTAATAAAGTGGAGGAAATACAAATCCCTCTCTTACCTCGATGTTTGTGTCGGACCAGAAAATCGCCCCAAGCATATCTTTAGTGCGCGTGGTGGGATGGGACCTCGGTACGAAACCTACGACGAGGTAGGTGAGTGACCCCTCGATCCACGTGCCAACCACGACAACCCCTCGAAGGTATGAAGTTTTCTAAACTCAAAACCCTACTTCAATGTTCGTGGCGGACCGGAAAATCGCCATGCACGCCTTTGTTGCGCGTGGTGGGATGGGACCCCGGTGCGGCGCCTACGACGAGGCGGGTAATCACCTAAAAAAAAATCTACTTCAAAGTTCGTGGCGGACCGGAAAACTGCCCCATGCACGCCTTTGTTGCGCGTGGTGTGATGGAACCCCGGTGCGGCACCTACGGCGAGGCGGGGTCACTCATAAGTACCCCCGAGCGGGGGGAAAACAAACTGCTTTTTCAAAAAATGTTTTTTAAAACCTCATGCACGCCTTTGTTGGCGTGGTGGGAGAAAAACAAAATCACCGCCGCGGTGTCTCATAAACATCAACCGTGCACGTCTTTGTTGACGTGGCCGGTAGGCGGCCTCTTGGTTTTTCCCCTAAATGGGGGAGGCGACGGGGACTTGGAGCAAAATGGAACTTGTGGACTTGATTTAATCTACTTAAAATGAACTTGAATAATATAAAAGAAATTGATTGAATTCAAAGAGCACATAACTTGGACTCTCATTTGAACTTCAACAATGACCCGACCTATATGAACTCGAACTTGCTAGGTGAACTTTGACATTGAACTCAAAACTTGTGGACATTGAACTTGAACAAGACATGGACCCAAGAGAACTTGATTGAACTCATGTTGAACTCGGACTTGAACTCTACAAGACAGCAGGGGACTACTTGCACTCAAATGAGTTGAACAAAGAACTAGAACTTGTACTCAAACTTGGACTATAATTTGAGCAAACATGAAGAACCTTCACTCGAATTGAATATCAATCAAACTTATAAATATAGGACTTGAGCTTGAATGAACTTTAAAGAGCTAAACTCATAATGACATGAAATTTGAAATGAGCAAGGATCAAATAATTGAGAAATTGACATTGGATAGATGAATGTCAAAGTGCAAATAGAGGTTTGTAAGTAGCATCAGTAAAATGCTGAATATCATTGGTGATGAGCAAAACTCCAAAGTTGAACTTCATGCAAATGACATCTATGTCAATCATGCAATCAAACCTGCAAGCAACGACAATCAACATGCATGAAGAAGTGAATGAATGCAATTAAGTTACCATACAAACACATATATCCCTTGCATGCATAAGGTGGTTGATTGGCACATCAAGTGCAAATACCTACGAATATGAGATGACCACATTAAAGTGTAAATTCCTACAAGCTACTACAGGGGAACTCTTCGCTCTTATAATGATTCTATCTATAACAATGATAGTGAAGGCATCACTAGTGTGGTGTATCCTTTATAGGAAAAAGATAAAAGATCGTGGTGAATACAAGGATCTACTATCTGTAATGGAAAATGCATCTCATGCACAATAATATACATAGGCGGGTGATTATCAATAGATGTGGATGTCATAGTACTCCTATAATCAATCACCATTCAACGTCCAATAAGTCTATCACCCTTCTTTGCATGTATAGCTACATACGCTGTGTATTATGCATCAATAGTATGGGAGATCTTCTACAAATAAGAGATAGAAGATGGTGACAAATACGAATGATCATTATTAATAATGAGGGAGTCACCACATACATAAGAATGCTCCTACGGGTGATGATCTATAACGAATAGTAAAGGCTAAAGTCTCTTTGTAGCCAACAACCATATAGTTGAGGTTAACACACTGGCCCGCTACAAGAAGAGGTGGGACACATTCAACAAATGCAATCACCTATAGGCTGTCGTATGATACTTGTTATACATGCCATCACCTAATTAATATAGAAGACTTCCAGCGGTCGTCATCATTTGTAACAAAGGCAGGAGATTAGTTTGTGCACTACGATCCACCTACATAAAGCAACGAGTAGTACACGACAGTCTACCTGTACAAAGTAGCGAACAACTCTATTCAGAAGCTGCTACGCCACGCCACCGAATCCGCAACATCCATGCAAGTGGACAGAAGGCGTCTATAAATATTCCAAAAATACCCCCGCACGTGCACCGTAGATTGTATACACATAGGTACACCAAAAGGGGTAAAAGCAATCAAGAACCCGCATTGGCCCCGACGAGCATGTTATTGATACACACGAGACATCTAGGGATGCTGCGTGGGTTATTAAATTTGAACCCGATCCTCCTAAGTAGATGAAAAGGAGTAGACAGGGTATAATTATAAAATGCCCCCAAACACCCGCATGGGCCCCAGCGAGCGTGTTATTGGTACACACGTGACTTCTAGGGATACTGCGCAGGTCAATAAGTGAATTTAAGTTCGAACCCAATCCTTCTATACAGATTAATAGGTGTCGACAAGGTTCGAACCAACAAACAAATATGTGGCCGTGGCGACCAGAATATTTGTTTTAATACATTTATATTAGGTCTTCAAGGCCTATAATAAAAAAAAATCACTAACAAAGGCATAAAACCCATGGAACCTGATCTTCCGTCGACCAATATACAGAGTTGACAAGATTCAATCCATAAAGAAAAATGACCCCAAACACCCCGATGATAGTCGTGTTGATTGCTTATCTCAACTGGAGGGATTCACAAATACTTTCAAATGCCGTTCCAAATATCCAAAAATCCAAAAAAATCTTAAAATCTAAAAAAATCCAACATATTTAAAATTGAAATAAATCCATCAATCACTTAAAGCAAAATCCATCCACCCTCCGCAACAATTTGTCCAGGTGGACAAATTAAAATTAACTTCAGCTCACAAAGAGCCAGATGCCTAGTCGAAAATATCACTAGGATCCATTCTCAAACAAATTTCCTGCCAGTAAGGACGTGGTACGTGTCTTCTATCCGACGGTCTGCCGCCAAGTGGCACCGCAGGATAAACGGTTATGACTCGGGGCCCTCTGAACTTAGTGGTTTTGCCGCCAAATGGCACAAAAGATAGCGGTTATGGCAAGAGCCAATACGTTCCTTAGTGGCATCAAATCCTTGAGACATGATCAATAAGATATGATCGATAGGGCACAAAGTCCTTTGTTAGCTAAGGTGGATTCAAATTTGTCCCCTTAGGAAAATATTCCCCCCAGGGTCTACAAGGTCTCCTTGGACAAAGCAACCCATGACTGCCGACAAGGATCCTTCTGTCAGGTTGGGTCAATTATCTCCTCTGACTAAGTAGACCAGGGTCCACGATGACCCGGGATGAC